AATATATAGAATATGTGTTTAACTGATTATTTCAAGTACATAAAATTATAACATATCAGCTTATTAACAACAAATAATATTACTACAAACCTGTATTTATCCTTTTTAAATGTTAGTACATCACAAGATTATATTTAACCAGGCAATCTACATGTTTTATCTTGAAATTCACATTTAAAAAAATGCAAATGTGAAAAAAGGTTTGCTTTTTTTTCTAATGTGAGGTGTTATCTTGACTTAAAAACAAAGCAAAAAAGGAACCGATCTATTTTCTGAACAATACACTATGCTAAAATGATCCAAAACTATATTATTGCACTGCTTTGTAGGTCACATCCTTTTCAAACATAAGCGACCCTGTCACTCCTCCAGTCCTCTGCTCAAATCCCTCCACTAGAGTCCCATCTCTGTGAACAAAAGCCAAAGTCCCTACAGGGGCGATAAGGCCCACGCCCTCCCCATTCCCTTGCTCACCCCATTAAACCCACACTGGTTTTCTTGTTGTTGCTCCTGCCCCATGGCCTTGAACCCTTCCCCAAGACAGCCACAAGCCTGGCTCCTTCACTTATTTCAAGTCTGTATTCAAGTATCAGCTTTTCAGTCAAACCTTCTCTGGTTGATGACTGACCTCATTTTACACTGGTATTCCAGCACCCCTCCCATCTCTGCTCACACATAACTGTCTACTAAGGACTCATGTGTTCCTATAAAATTCATATTTTGAAGTCCCAACCTCCACTGTAACTATATTTGGAAATAAGGCCTTAAAGGAAGTGACTAAGGTTTAATGAGGTCTTAAGGGTGGGGTCCTGATCCAACAGGATTAGTAGTTTTATGAGAAGAGACATGAGAGAGCTGTCTCTCCCTCTCCTTTGCTCCCTACTCCTGCCGCCAGTACCGAATTTACTGTCTGTCTCCCTTTATTGCAGAATAAGCTTCGTGAGGACAGGGATTTTTGTCTATTCATATCACCTACAACCTGGCATATAACAGATGATCAATAAATATTTGTTGAATGCATAAAGTATATATTTAAAACATCTTAAAAGTTGATAAGCTACAGTAAGAAACAATATATTTTTGTGACGCTATTCAAAGGATCTAATAAGAAATAAAAATACACAATCTTCAATAAGCTAAAGTTTAAAAATCAAATGATCAAAATTTGTGTTGTAATCACAGAATCCTACTTTCTTGGTTCTCCTTCTATGAATCTGACCCAACACAGGCTCTGTCTTCCTCTCACCCATAAATGTGGAAAATATGGAATACTGTTACTTTGAACTTTTTCTCTAATCACTTCCTACATGAACTCATCCATTCTCATTGCTTCAACTATCGCTTTTTTTTTAAGATGACTCTGAAACTCTGAAATCTTCATCTCTGGCCTGGACTTGTCTGTGCACTCTAGTGCTATATTCACAACTGCCTTTGAGGGGAACATCACTTCACCAAACTGCTAGAGATGTCGAAGGGCAGAATCCTTACATAGAACATAATGTACTCACTTGAGTAGAAAAAAAATGCTACATAAAATATAATTTTAAAATGTAGTAGTAGTATAAAGACTCACTTAATTCTATATACTGTCTGAGAAACTGCCTTCTTTCATTATAGAAATTAGACTATGATAATAGGGAATTCCAATCTTTGAGTTATGACTGTGTATTCTAATTAACAATATACCTGTGTACTAACAGTTTCACTTCAACCACTCAGTTATTCCCAATATTGCAATAAAGTTTTATTACCTTCAAATTGAATTTAATCACTTGGGGTGGGGAATATAAGAAATTATATGAGGTTTTCAAATTAAGTTTCTGAACTAGGATAGTTTATTTTTAGAAGAAAAATGTCTCATGTCTTTGTCTTCATCACTGACTCCCAAATAACATTTGTTTCTTTAGCCATTTTTCTTCCTACTCACTAATCAATTCATTATTAAAGACTTCTCTAAAGCACAGATTTTACCTCTCCAAAAAAGCTCAGTAATTTGATGATGAAATGACAATTCAGAATTTAGAAGTCTTCACATTAAAAGTTGGCTAACAGAATTCATTATCCAATTTAAACGAACCACATATTTTTAGAATTTCATTGAGCAAAAAGAAAAAGAAAAAAAATCCAGGAGAAAATTATACTGTTACTATGCCATTAGAGATAGGCAGACCTTCCAGGGTGCAATAAAGTCTCTGGGGCCTTGGATAGCATGAAGAAACCTCTTATAGTCAGTGATCCTCAGTACCAATCAGTTACTGATGAAATACATGATGTCCCACGCCTATACTACCCTTTTAAGAGGAATAATTACTACATATTATATCAGGTAAATTTCACTGCTATTTCTTTCTCAAATATTTTTTCTTCAAGTTAAGAATATAAATTAAATCTAGTTAAGATAGGTGCTGATATAGACTGAATGCCTGTGTCCCCCCAGAATTCATATGTTGAAATTCCAGGTCCCAATGTGATGGCATCAGTAGGTGAGGGCCTTTGGGAGGCGATTAGGTCATAAGGGTGGAACCCTCATAAATGGGTTAGTGCCCTTATATAAGAGGCTATTGAGAACTCTCTTGCCCCTTTTAGCATGTGAGGTTATAAGGAGAAGATGGACGTTTATAAGCTGGGAAGTGGGCCCTCACCACACATCAAATCTGTTGGAAACTGGATCTAAGACGTCAGAGCCTCCCCAACTGTGAGAAGTAAGTTTCTGTTGTTCATAAGCCACCCAGGCTATGGTATTTTGTTATAACAACCTGAACAAACTAAAATAGGTGTTAAGAAGCCATGCTCAACTGTCCTCAATGCTCACAAAAGGCACAAAGTATGCCTAAACTACCAACAAATCCTGTCATCACTCCTCTCAAAAAATATCCAGAATCTGACCAATGCTCTCTCCCTTTTCTGCTACCAGATATCTTGGTCCAAGCCACCGTCATCTGTTACCAGGATTATGATAAGAGTCTCCTAAATAATTTCCCTGACTCCATCATTGCCCCACTACAGTCTGCTCCATGCCAGTGATCACAATAAAACATTAGTCAAATCAAGTCACTCCTCTGATCAATATCCTCGACTAGCTTTCCCATCACTTGAAGTGAAAGTCAAGTTCTTACAATGGCTTAGAAGAACCTTCGTGGTCTGGTCCCCCTTCACCTCATCTTAAACTGTTCTTCCTCTCTTTTACTCCCTTCAGCCCCAATGTCTTCCTTGCTACTCCTTGAACACATCAAACACACTCTCACTTCAGGTCCTCTGCGTCAGCAGCTTCCTCAGCCTGAAAGGCTCCCTCTCCCTCTAGACAGCTACAGGACTTGTTCCCGTGCTTCCTTCCAGACTCTGATCAGTGAGGCCTTCCTTGACAACAGAACATAGACTAGTACCCCTTCTCTGCTGCCTGCCCTTCTCTAATACTTTTCACCTGCTTTATTTTTTCCCAAAGTGCTTATTATTGCTTGGCATACTGTATGTTTGTTTCTTATTTGCTTTACTTAACTAGAACGTTAATTCTAAGAGAACAGACTGTTGTGTTCTTTGTTCATTCCCTAGCAAGAGAATATAGAGTAGTAGATTATCAATAAGTATCAATAAATATTGATAAAATGAATGAATGGATAAATCTTGCACTAGTTTCTTATCCCAAACTAGATTCAGATTCATCTTCCTTCAAACTGCATACCACTAAATTTTTATTTTTCTTAGAATAAATCACATCCTTGTATTAAAAATCATTTTGTATGTATCTTAGCATCCTGTAAATATCAATAACGATGTCTTATTCCTCTTTGTATACCCCACATCTAGCATCATTTCTTTCTTTCTTTTAAGAGGTACTCAATATTTGTTCATTTGTTGGGCTGAATTTGAAGTCATACTAAAAAAGACTTCTTTTTTTTTTTGAGACAGAGTCTCACTCTGTCACCTAGACAGGAGTGCAATGGCGCGATCTCGGCTCACTGCAACCTCTGCCTTCAGGGTTCAAGTGATTCTCCTGCCACAGCCTCCTGAGTGGCTATTACAGGCGCACACCACCATGCCTAGCTAATTTTTGTATTTTTAGTAGAAACGCGGTTTCGCCAGTTGGCCAGGCTGGTCTCAAACTCCTGACCTCAGGTGATTCACTCACCTTGGCCTCCCAAAGTGCTAGGACTACAGGCATGAGAAAGATATTTCTATAATATACCTGGCTCTATTGTGCTATCCATTAGCACATGGCCCAGTACCAATTCTTAAATTGCTAAAAAAAAAATGTGCTGCTTTCATAACAACCCACCAAAATTTAATACGAGTGAGATAGAAAAGGGCGTGTAAGCTGGCTCAGAGATGCCTAATATCCATTTTGTACTGATATGGAAACCATGAAACACATCGGGAATGATGTCAACAAATCAAAAGACTTTCAGAGGATACTGAAAACTACTTGGAAGAAAGCTGCCTCAGCTTGACCTACTAATGAATTCTACAAAAAGAAAAGCCAGAGAGCAAATGGTTCCCTCTTATCTTTATAAAAAAAAAAAACCAGAAACAAACTAACATGAAGAGATTTTTCCTAAAAAAAAAAAACAAAAACAAATTCCAACATCACTACTACAATTAATATCCACTTGACCCAAAACTTTTACACAACTCATTAACTGGTATTTTTAACAAAAAGCTTAAATAACCAAGGAAAGATTAAATTATCATCAATGTTTAAAAAACGTAATATGCCTTGAGTTTTAAACTTTCATCAAGTCAGTTAAAATTAGAGTCTCATATTAAAGGGGTTAAACCTTTACTAGTAAGAAAAGTCAACCATACACAGTAATTTATTCTCTAAGACTTGTGGACAAGCAGAATTTTGCTTTTCAGTCAAACTTTTTGAAAACTAATCATCCATAATTATAGTCATCAAAACAGTTAATAGACTAGAACTCTTCTTACAAAGCAAAAGAAGTGACAGCATTACAAATAAATGATACGGTAAAAATAACATCCTTCCTTCTGTGGTGTCAACTCACCTGAGGTATAAGTCTATCCAAGTGCTCAACTCGATTGCCATGAGAAGGGTGTGTAGATAACCATTCTGGCATCTTGGGTTGCCCATGCAGGCTATCAACAAACTCCATTTGCTGCCAAAACACTGAACTGGCTCTTATGTCCACACAAGCCTAAAACCAAAATTAGTAAAGCCACACAATGAGCTCAGTTTTGAGAATATTTTCTTAAAAACATGACTTTATGTCACCACATGCTTTAAAATCATTTTCTATCATCATTTTAATAAAAGTAGAACATAATCATTGCTTAGAAAAAGACCCACCTCAAACAATATGATATCACAGTACAGAAATAAGAGAATGCCTGCCCTCCTCACATACAACATTCATAATAATCCTGCTCCCCAAAGATAACCCACTATTTTCAGTATGATGGATATAAAGAACATATATTAAGGGTAAAATATTATACACAAATTAAAAATTTGTTTTCATAAAAATAAGGTTTTTAAAATATAACCTATTAAAACATTAAAAAACTTTACTTCTATGCCACTAGATCAGAAAAAAAACTTCAAATAAACTTAAAAGAAGACATTTTTATTGTGTACATCAATTTACCCACTTTTCTCAATGTATATGGAGAATATACTTAATTCATATTATACCTTATAAAATACAATACCTTGTAAAAGTACAATATAAAAGTACATTAGTACTTTTTAGAAGACTATATGTAGATTTTGTGCATGTGTATGCACAATTCCATCATACGCTCAAATATATATACCCAGACATATATAATTGTATATGCCCAGAACATATCTGGGAAGCTATTTAAGAAATGTTTAATAGTAGCTACCCTAAGAATGTACCTGAGGTATTTGATAGTGGAGAGGGAGCAGGACTTTTATTAAAATATATTAATTTAAATATATTAAAATACATTATTGTATAATTAAAATTATTTTAAAATCCTCCATAAGGTGGATTATTAATATTTTATTAATTTGTTCAATTTATTCACATTTCTTAACTTATTCTTTCTATAAGACGTAACTGGAAAACAAGTAATTATATTTCCCAACCATTTTACTTTTGATTAAAACTAAGAAAAATATATATGTATTATATTAACTAAAATGTTCCCTCAAAAACGCTTATAATAATGTAATTGTGAAATCACAAAGGCAAATATATTAATAGAACACTGCATGCTAGTCAACAACCATCCTACATAATTTCTTAACAAATACCATTAAAACATTTCCAAATGTTAGCAAAATAAATAAAGAAGTTTTAAATGCAAGTAAATCTTATTAAATATTTAAAGAAATATAATTCTTTAAGATCTCTGAGTATTTTAAGTTGAAAAGAAGTCAAGGTACTTTATACACTGCTGCAAAGATATGGATATACATATTTATATGTATATAAACAGGAATATACAAGATAAATGTATATCACAAACATAAATATGATTCATGTTTGTACACATAAGTACAAATCTATATATGCAAGATGTGTGTGTGCTTATGTATAAAATATGTTTGTAACATAACTACCTACACAGAAATAATTATTTGATGTTGAATTAGAAATACACAGGGGAATATGCACCTCAATAATAGGTAATCACATTCACAATAAAAATACAAGCTGAGAGTAACAAGTATTCTTCTAAAATAATCCATTAAAATATAAAATCATTTGAAAGAATTCTAACACAAACAAAAAAACCCTCTGAAAACTGGAAGATAAACATTTCAATGGACTACAAATTCATGAATTATCTAATATGAAGTCTATCTGCTATATAAGCAAAAAGCATACTTATCTAATTTTTTAAGCCTAAAACTGTTAATCAAAAGACAAAACATTTCCTTATTCAATCTCTAAGTAACACAGTTGAAGGAAATCTTTAAAGCAATATTTGATATGCAGAAATAGAAAAAGAAATTAATTATCCCAACAGACTAGAAAGTATTCCAAACTAAAAATATTAAAAAGGGACTTGAGATGTCTACTTTAATGTTAAGATAAGAGTGTTGAGTTTGTCTATATTTCTCAAACCCAGTTCAAAGACCCATTAAAGTCAGATAATTGTGTTTCCAAAATGAGTATCTGATTTACATTTTTCCAACTTAGGAAAAATAAGTAACAGGGTGGACATCAGCAAGATGGAAAAATAGGAAGCCCTGAACCCTCCTTCCCCATATGAACACTCTGATTCAAAAATAATATACAAATTCCCTTTGTGAGAAATCCTGAAACTAGGTGCAATGCTCTGCACCTGCACAAGTATGAAACAAGCCACATCAAACCTCGTAAAAAATTGGAGATACCCTCTCACCATAATCTCCAAGAGCTATTATGTACCTCCGATATGGCACCACATGATCATAAGAACACCTGCAGCTCCCCACCACTCCTTAAGGAAGGAAAAAGTTGGCTTGTATATCTAACATTCCAACTTTTCTAAGAGCTGCCCTAGGAACTGGCTTTTGTCTTGCCACCCTTGTAGCACTGATGGAATCTAGAACACTCTAGATGACAGGGGGCCAGTAATAACAGCAACAGCAGTTTGAATAAGCACACAAGCAGTTGCCATACTCTCTCCCTAAGGTTCAGCATCAAGTGAGTTGGAGAAAAACTCCAAAGCCCAGCCTCTCCCAGGGCAGGGATGGGGGAGAAACGGTAGATCACATGTCCAACACTCTAACATTTCTGAGGGCTGCCCAAGGGACTGGCTTCTGTCTCATCTGCCTTGGAGCACTGATAGGACACAGCATATGGACCAGATGGACCAGATATGACCCTAGATGCCTAGGGACTGCTAAGAACAAAAATAGCAGTTTGTACTAGCATGAAAGTTTGAGAGATTCTCAGAATCTCTGCTGTGCTGACTAGTGAAGATCTTCTCCCGTACAAAGAGTCTGTAAAGACTAAGAGAGGTTGCTGTTTTTTCCTAATGTGTAGATATCAACGATAAGAGTCAAAAAATAAACAGAAAAATATGTAACAAAAGAACAAGATAAATCTTCAGAAACTGACCCTAATGAAAGGGAAATATATTATTTATCTGACAAGAGAATTCAAAATAACCTTCATAAAGACACTCAATGAGGTCAGAACAACGCATGAACAATGTCAGAATTTCAACAAAGACTCAGAAAATGTAAAAAAGTACCAAACAGAAATTCTGAAGCATACTCTCAAACAACACACTCCTGAACAGCCTATGGGTCAAAGGAAAAAAAGAAAGGAAAATCATCTTAAGACAAATGAAAATGAAAACACAATATAACAAAACCGATGGGCTACAGCAAAAGCGGTTCTAAGAGGATAGTTTATAGTGATAAACACCTACATTTTATAAAAGAAGAAAGAAAACAAATAAACAACCTAATCTTATACCTGTAGGAACTGAAAAAAAAAAGAAGCCCAAAGTTAGCAGAAGGAAGGAAATAATAAAGATTGAAACAGAAATAAAGGCGAGAATTTAAAAAATAGGAAAAAACTTGAAACTAAGAGCTTTTTGGAAAAAATTTACAAAACTGACAAATCTTCAGAGTAATTAAGAAAAAAGAAGATTTAAGTCAACAAAATCAGAAATGAAAGAGGACACATTACAACATACCATTATAACTGATACCATACAAAGGATCATTAAGAGACTAATCTGAACAATTTTCCTCCCACAAATTGGATAACTTAGAAGAAATGGATAAACTCCAAGAAATATATAACCCACCAAGACTGAATAATAAAAAAACAGAAAATATGGACAGATCTATAACTAATGGAATTGAATCAATAATAAAAAAACCTCCCAACAAAGAAAAGCCCAGAACCAGATGACTTCACTGGTGAATGCTACCAAAAACATTTAAAGAATTAATGTCAATCACTCTCAAACTCTTCCAAAAAATTGAGGAGGGAAAACTTCCAAACTTATTCTATGAGGCCAGCATTAACCTGATACCTATGCCAAAGACAATAGCAAAAAAAATTACAGGCCAATATCCCTGATGAACATAAATGCAAAAATTCTTAACAAAATACTAGCAAACCAAATTCAAGAGCACATTAAAAGGAATCACACCTTATGACCAAGGAGGATTTTTTTTCCTGGTAATCAAGAATGGTTCAACACACAAAAATCAATTAATGTATTAATGTCATACACCACAGTAACAGAATAAAAAATCACATGATCATCTCTATAGATGTAGAAAAATCACTTGACAAAATTAAACACTCTTTCATGATAAAAACTCTCGAATACTAGAAATAGAAAAAAAATTATCTCAAGATAATTATGGTTATATATGAAAAGTCCACAGCTAGCATCACATTTCATAGTGAAAAACAAAATTTTTTTCCTCTAAGTGCAGGAACAAGGCAAGGATGTCCAATCTTGCCACTTCTATTCAACATAGCACTGGAAGTCCTAGCCAGGGCAATTAGGCAAGAGAAAGAAATAAAAGGCATTGAAATCAGAAAGAAAGAAATAAAATGATTTATCTTTTCAGGTGATATAATCTTATAAGTAGAAAACTAAAGACTCCACACACACAAAAACCCTGCTAGAACTAACAAAGTCAATAAAGTTAGGGTACAAAAATCAGCATACAAAAATCAGTTATGTTCCACACACTAACAACAAACTATCCAAACAGGAAATTAAGAAAATATTCCACTTACAAAAACATTAAAAAGAATAAAATACTTATTAAACCAAACTAAGGAGGTGAAAGGCTTATACACTAAAAACTATTTTTAAAAACTGATGAAAGAAATTAAAGACAACTCCAATAAATGGAAAGACATCCCATGTTCATGGATTGTAAGACTTAATATTGTTAAAATATCCATACTACCCAAGGTGATCTACAGATTCAATGAGATCTCTATGAAAATCCCATTGCCATTTTTCTTATAGAAACAGAAAAAACAATCCTAAAATTCATATGGAACCACAAATGACCCAAAATAGCCAAAGCAATCTTCAAGATGAGGAAGACTAGATGCATCATGCTTCCTGATTTCAAAATATATTGCAAAGCTACAGTAATTGAAACAGTATAGTATTTGCATAAAGACAACCACTCAGTCAACAGAAAATAACAGAGAACTCGAAGTTAAGCCCACACAAATACAGATCTTTA